AACCGAGCGCTCAAGATCATTCAGTTAACCTTTAAAGCGAGAGAATGTTATACGTCAGCGTTTATCTTCCAGGCTACATCCCAATGAAAGGCATAACGATACAAAGCCGTTCAACCCGATTGTTACGCTCCGACTCCTCTGATTTTACGAAGTCGCTAGATGGTCAGAGTTGTAGTTCAGGAACGAGATAAGACCTTCGCTATCCGGGGCCGTCTTGAATGTTAGCACGGTCTGCAGTTCTATTAGCTCCCTAGGTAGTCTGTCCCATATGTTCACTACCCTTTTGCTGAAGAAGTGTGACCGGGTGATCAATCAAAACCGCCTTTGTCTAGCTTCATTTCGTGTTCCCTTGTACGGGAATCTAGCTCTTTATTGATTAGGGTTTCTGATAAAACACCCGATAAACCTTTCATCATCCTTAATGTTCCTATCACAACTTCCCTGAGACTCTTCTTTTCCAAAGAGAATAGTACCAGGTCCTGAAGTTTCGTTTTGTAGTCTTTGCCACGCTGGTTCTCAACCATTCTCGTTGCCAGCCATTGAACCCGCTCTAAACAGGCGGTATCCTTTTTGAAGAAGAGTGAACATGCCTGCACGCAGTACTCAAGATGAGGTCTAACTATAGCTTTGTACAGGGGCACGATCACCTCCGGTTTTCTGCAAGACAGTGCCGAGCTCAGTCTGAAGAGTTTGCCCTACATGGTTATTATGCACTGCGCGGCCCCACGGAAACCTGAAATTACGAGGATAGCCAGATCCTCAGCCCTACTTACTGATTCCATCGTGAACAAATCCTGGTCCTGCACTTTTGTTAAGCTTACGTCGGTCCGCGATAGCTACTGGCTTTCATCGGCATTCAGCGGCAATTGACACTGCTGCTCCCAGTTGAGGACAGCAACCATGTCTCTTTTGAGGTCTTCTCTTGATATCTTCGACGAAGAGAAAGGTGGACGATCTCAGCAGCGCAGCAACGTCATTTATGAATGGTACGAATAACAGTGGACCGAGCACGGAGCCCTGGGGTACACCACTTGTGACATGCTGTACGCAGCACTTGTCACCAACTTTGACATAGAAGGACCTGCTGGTTAGAAAGACTCCCAGACATTGGCGTATTTGTCCCCTTGTACCGAACGCCTCTATTTTGACTAATAGCAGGTGCTGATTGACTGAGTCAAACTTCTTGCTAAAGTTCAGATAACATACATCTACCCTGTGCCCCTCGTTCAATCTTCTGCTAACTTCGTCCAAGAAACACATTAGATTAGTCAAAAATCATCTTATTTTAAGAAGTTCGTGTTCAGTTGCACACAGCATAGAATACTGCATTAGGTGCTGGCATACATGTGATAAAAATATTAATATTAATAAGTGTATATTTCACGGAGCCCCGTGAGGCATGCATAGGCATGATCAAATGTACAACGTAATCCTCCGTAGAAGAGAAGCCCAAAAGGAAAAGAAAAAAATTGATGGTCGCAGTGGACATAATTACAAGTGGAACACAGAGTGGACAAGGTATCAGATAAAAAAAGGTTGGGGATGGCAGAATGCTCTAAGAGAGCAAGTCAGTGAAAGTAGGACAAAAACCAATAATTTTTATACCGGATGAATGGTGGGATGATTGGAAACACGACAAGCAGTGAGTAAGATAACAAAAGGCGGCCTGCAGATCGTTGGACGGAAACGGGCACAAGAGCAGCTAGGGTGAAGCAGAACAGAGTGAAACTGTCATGGAATACATATGCACTCCACGTTGTGAGAGAGATGAGTTCTGAAGGGTCCCGTTTGATGGTCTCAGGGGCTCCAATCAGCAGTGGATTAATTAGGGTTATTTACGTTATTTAGGCCCATGGTCGCTTTGATGTGGGACTGACTACACGCTAGAAACCCAACCTTAAATAACACCCTGCAGATGGTCCGGAATGCGGACGCATGTAGTGAAAGCGGTGGATACAGCCGCGCCCAACAACCATTGCCCGTGTCAAATTGTCCACTACGGGTGTAGACCTCAAGCCTTCGTCAGGCCCAAACCAACCGGATATGGAATAGGAAGGCGTACATCGGCAGTCTGGGGTGCAGCCCAGTTGAGAAGGGATTAGGGAAAGAAATAGCAAGATGCAAACGTCAAATTCCAATCAAGCAGGGAGCTTAGGTCATAATACTGGTGAAAGGATGTTGTCAAAATATGTCTCGTTCTACAGATCCAAATGGAGGTGGATACGCGTAATGGTAGAACATCAGTTGATACAGTAGACACAGCTACCTGGTTAGCATGTGCCACGGAATTGAGCCAATCGAATCAGATGAAAGCGCAATCACATGGAAATGATTTATGCGAAGATGGGTCAAAATACTTATAAAAGTATGTACCAAATTAGGTTGTGTTCCACCGAACCTGCTTCGAACCTGGATCCGTGTACTGATATGAAATTGGTTGAGAAAGTGCTACCTGGTTAGCATGTGCCACGGAGTTGAGCCAGTCGAGTCGGATGAAAGGGCAAACAGATGGATATGAGTTAGATGTATGTGAATAATCTTTTCTAGCACCTAACACAAAATACTGTTGAGGCTGACTGGCCTGTAGTTACCTAACTCTGATCGGGCTCTCAACTTATGTATGGCCACCATAACTGCTACCTTCCAATCCCTCGGTAGAACACCCGGATCTAGTGAAGCTTTGAATAGCTTATACACCGGACCTGCGAAGATGATGATGATGACAGTGGGATGAATTTCTTCCGATTCAGCCGCTCTATGGACGTCTGGGCCCTGTTCCGATAGCTGAAGCTCCCCAATATATGGCGGGCATGTTCATAGTTCCAAGGTTCTCGGAATGCCGTCACTTACTCGGTTTACACTGCCAAAATAGCCGACCAATGCATCTACCTTATCCATGTCCTCCAAAACAACTGCTGGAATACCTAAACTTAATGCTCCTATGCCATCTTCCCAAGCTCCTTTTGATTGAACGTAGCCATTGTATTTCTTCGGGTTAATTTTGGTGCATCGGGCCAGCTGAAGCTCATGTTGCCTTTTGGCTTCTCGAATTAGCCCAACAGCTTCATTTTCATGCCTATAAGGAATCCACGCATGTTGATTTCCGAAAACTCTACAGCTCTTTCAGTGCCTATTTCGTTGTTCGATGGCCCTGGCTATGGCTGCCCTCCACCGCAACGGCTTGTCACTTCGTCGGCTGTATTTCAATAGAAAAAATTCGTTTTGCAGTTTTATAAGGGCCTCTCTAATTAACATCCAGTGGTTTTCTACACTAGTCCCTTCCAGAGCATCCCTAACCAGCTCTGATGTCTTAGTTCTAAGAATTCTTAGATCCTCACAGTCAAAATTTCTAATCAGCTTGCACGGTGCCATCCGTGGTGCAGTCCGTGGCACACGCTAACCAGGTAGCCGTGTACACTTTCTGAACCCATTATTACCAGTACACGGAACCAGCCTCGAAGCAGGATCCGTGGAACACTATTCTGTCTGGTATATACTCGTACAATTTTCGTGATTTAATTTTCTGCAGTCGACTCCGGTTTCCTATCATTTATTTCTTGGTGTCCACTCATTTTCTGTGTTGTTCGGCTGCATGCTCCGTTTCCCGCTCTCCTTCCTCTTTTTCAGCTGGGTACTGCCCCAGACTGCTGCATATGGCCTCTTTGATTCAGATTCGTTTGGTTTGGGCCTCCCGAAGGCTTGGGGTCCTCACCCACAATGGACAATTTGGCTCCGGCAATGGTTGTTGGGCACGGCTGTATCCACCGTTTTGACTACACGGGTCCGCGTTCCAGACCAGGCTGAGGATTACACCCCGTGCCTCACCTAGAAGGTGTTTTAAGGTTAGGTGTCTAGCGTGTAGTCAGTCCCACATCAAAGCGACCAACGCTTAATTAATCTAAATAAACCAAACTACTCCTTGATCGATTAAAGCCCCAAACCCAATGAACTTGTCTCCAAAAGCGAGTTGTATTGCAGCATAGAGTGAAACATGTTCCTTTACAGACGTATTATTCTGCTATGTTTTTCANTTCTCATGTCTCCACCATCGGGCAGCATTTGTACTACAGACCTCCTCTTCTTATTTCCCATACTGTTGCCGTACGGCCAATCCTTTTGAGACCAGCTTTACTATTACTTGCAGTTCTAGTGACATGTATATTTCGATGCATCCTCCACCCTTCATAAATTCGTTGATGACCTTGTCCGGTTTGTNACCACTTTTTTAAATTTTATTTTATTATTGTCTACCTATGTACTTACAATGTTATTGTACGTATACTCGCTCTGAACATTTGATCATGCCTTGTGCATGTTTCACGGGCTTCGTGAAATATACACCTATTAATATTATAGTTTGCTGCAGGCACTCTTTGCTTGATATGATGACGTAGTCGCTTTTACCAACAGATGGATGCGACTGGAGTGCCACGATATCATTCTTGTGCGCAGTGATCATTAGATCCAGCAGCCTTAGATTATTACCCGACCTGAATCTAGTGCTTTCCTTAATATGTTGTCACCGGGCATTTTTGTGCAGCCATTTGATAAAGTCCTCTTCTGCTCACTCCCAGATGCACACCTCAGACCTCCAGTCTATATGTGGTAGGTTGAAGTCCCCAAACGTAATTGCTTTGTTAGCTTCTTCAACTATCCTCGTGAGAGCACACAACAGTTGACTATCCTCTTCAGGATTTGTACTTGATGCGCGATCAACACACTATGTTGACCCTTCTATTCTTGAGTAGTAGGGTTGCTGTGAACAACTATACATTTCTGGTGCAGAAATGGTCTCTGATTTTATGTGGTTTGTGCCCCTTTTGAGGATAATTGTCACTTCTCCTCCCACATATTCTTGGTTCTGGTCCTACCGGTAGACAAAGAACGACTCTTGGACTATCTGCAGTATATTTTGTGTTTTATTCAGCCATGTTCCGGTGATTGCCACTTCAGACACCTGTTGTTCACAGGCTATCTGAGCTAGTTCTGTCCATTTATTTCTAACGCTTCATGCGTTGGTGTACAGCATGAACATTCTGTTCACTCTTCCTATGCATTTCCCATAGATATTTCTTGCTTGGACCTCGGACACAGCACCCAAAGACACAACAAGTTTCTTCCGTGGTACTTGTAGCTTGCAGGTCTCTTTGGTGAGCAACCTTAGCTTTGCTGAACCTCACTGAAGCTTCTTCATCTACGTTGTCTGCTGGTAGGCAAGTTTGCCATTGCTCTTCTTTTAGGACATCTTCATTGACCACGACTCCAGGCGATACTTCCGGCATGCGTGATGAGCGGCTGCCAGAAGATATCACCCGAGTTTGGACCATGTCGTTTCGTTTGCCATGATTGATACCCACATCTGGAGCACTTAAGCGTTCTGTGTGACTCCCACTGGGTCCGTCTGGTGCAATCTGATATCGGCCTCCTGTCATTTAGACTACCAGCACAGATCGGGATAGGAGTAGATCCCTAATTTGGTCCGCCATGGACTTCATGTGAATTTGTCGCACAGCGGGGCCATTTGGGTACGGGGCTTTATACGTCCCTATCCTATGGACCCTTTCAATACCTCCAGGATGCAAGATACCTGCTAGAAACAGCATATCTGACACCTTCCTACTGTTCGACTCCCCCCTGATATTAACCTTCATTATCTAAGGTCCCTTTTGGTCAAATATCAGAAGCCTTCGTCCGGATGTCTTATTCATCATGTGAATCTGCCTCTGTAGATCCATGAGGTGCCTCCCGAAGGCTTTTAGATCGGGGTGGCTGGTTCCCGAATCTTTTCCCTGCTTCTCTGCCCCAGGTTTGTTAACCGATTGCTGCCCTTTCCCAGTTACCTCCACTCCTTCTCCGGTGACGACCTACCGTACCGGGATAAAGTTAAATGCCACCGAGAAAATGCTGAGAAGTCACGATAACATTTTCCTGCTGGAGTGCTGGCAACCTCTGCGTTTGACCTATGCGCTGCAACCATGGGCAGCAATTTTGTTTCCGAACTTAGGGGAATGTTCTCTGTGCATGGTGTTTCTACCTTCCGCGACTCACGTTGAAGCGCAAGCCATACTGCTTCCTTGCAGCATATGCACATCCATTTTGCCCACTTACTCTGGTAGTGCAGTGTATACACTTCTGCACTGATACCCGAGCACCTTGAACGGGCCCATCTCCTGCACATATCGCACGCAATTCCCTTAACTACAGTCTTCCCGTACTCTCTGTTGAGACACGGATAAGATACTCGTGGCATAATCCAACAAAAGAATACAATTGAAAAATGCGCAATACTTCTAAGATCGTCAAGTCCGGGGTAAAACACAGCAAAGAGTGAACGGTAAAATGTTACGCACGTCTAGTTAGTTCAGAGAATATAAACTCCAGATAACAGGTTAAAACACCGGTAAACTAAAACTGCATAAAAATAGTGAAATAAATAAAGTTATCGACTCAATTGGCTAAATTCTGTGGCACATGCTCACCAGGTAGCAGTGTGCACTTTCTCAAACAATTTCATATCAGTACACGGATCCAGCCTCAAAGCTAGATCTGTCGAACCAACTCGCTGCTGATACATACTTCAAGACCAAAGCTGAATCTCTCGAACAAATTACCTGTAGGTGTATGCTTTTGAAATCACTGTGACCTATTATTGCTTAATTTCTGTATATATATATACATTTGTAGGTACACGTACTTTTTCGAAATATTCCACGATGCATATTATTCGTGACATGTTTTGTTCCCCCATTCCTTCTCAGCTGGATATCATCCCAGACAGTTTTGTATCGCCTTCTTGTTCCAGAATCGGTTGGTTTAGGCCTCACGAAGGCTTGGGGTCCTCACCCACAATGGACAATTTGGCTCCGGAAGTGATTGTTGGGCGCGGCTGTATCCACCGTTTTGGCGACATGCGTCCGCATTCCAGACCAGGTTGAGAATTGCACCCCGTGCCTCACCAACAAGGTGTTTTAAGGTTGGGTTTCGAGCGTGTAGTCAGTCCCACATCAAAGCGACCAACGCCTAAATAATTTAAATCAATCCATTGCCCATCGAAGCCCCGAAAATCAAACGAATGTGCTCTCAGAAGCAAGCTGTTATACAGCTGACAGAAAAGCATGTAGTTGAGAACTGTATAACCTCGCTGTACCCCTCTTTCCCACTCATTTCTATCCGCGAGTCTCCATCTCCTCCCGCTATTAGTCTCACTGACCATCGATTCATGTTTTCCTTCCAATAATTCCGCACGTCGAATCCTCTCGCTCTTTCTTTAATTTCCGTTGACATGCTCACCCAGTGTATTTCTCCATCCTCCATATCTACGTATGTGACCTTGTCCGCTTTGTGTTTCATTTGCACTGCCTTTCATTCCGGTCCCCCGCCGTCTCCATTGTGTATATCTTCTAATTGGACCTTCTATGTATCTGCACCTTTGATGTACATATGACTATTTTGAACATATGTTCAGGCCTTGTGCATGCTTCACGGGCTTTGTGAAATATACATTATTATTATTTTACTGCAAGAATGATACTTTTTGCCAAAACACAGGTCGGGTACACAGGACTCGCGGCCGTTGCCTATACGTCTAGTTTATCACACTTGTGAGTTCTGATGCGAATCCACTACGCTTCAACCTACAGAGAAGGTTTGGGCTCTTCTCTTCAGGTTTCTGGATGAAAGTTGATCTGCGATGCAAACGAGATGTTAAAGTGCTCAATCGATAATATCATTAGGCTTTGGTCTTCAAAACTAGAAGTAGTACTCTGGTTCAATGCTTGCGACCCATAGTCCAGGTGCTGTACTTGTTTTCTTTTCTTTACTTCGGTGCACGAGCTGAAAGGGAGGTTAATGGAAAAGCGGCGCGAACACTACTATTTTGCCGTTAGATTGAGTTTGCATGCATTGGGAAAAATTGAGAAGAGGAAAGAGAGAATGAGAAGCGGAGTATGCGGCACTCTGTGGAAGGCTTTGGCAAAGTCTATAAAGATCGCGTGGCTAATACGACCTTCGTCATAGGCACAGGCTAAGCCATCCAATACGGTCAGCATATCGTGAATGCATGATTTGTTTGCGAGGGAACTATGTTGGGGGGCGTCTACCAGACTGTTCTCAGTTAGATGCCTCAGAATACTCTATTTGAAGAGACGCTTGAAGATCTTACTGGAATAGTGGTTATGCTGATAGACACATATCTAGTAGGCTATTCTTATACATAAGGATAACAGTCTCTCTCTTCTACTATTTTGGCATGGTACCTGTGTCTAAGCACTTTTGATAGAGTTTGCATTTGTGCCAGCCAATACTTGCGCAGATTCTTTGAGTCTACATGGTTGGATTTCATCTGAGCCCACCGATCTGAGGGAGTTCACGCGTCTTAATTATTCTCTCACTTCTCTGACTGTTAGGACAAAGTGATCCAAAGGGGATTGGTAGGTAAAGGGTTGAAGATTGGAATGACTGGCAGGAGAGTTGTTAAAAGCTTGGTCGAAGTGAAACCGGAACATTTCCGCCACTTCTGAAGATAAAGTGGCTGGGGTACCAATGCGTTTAGATAGAGCAAGGGCGGATGGAGTGTTTCACCAGGTTCGTCGCATAAATTTATACTGGACTTACCGGTTTATCCATGACTTGGCTAAAAGGCCGTTCTGCTGATTTCTTTGGTACTCCAGGATCCTCGCTTTGCACAAATTTGGAATGCGGATGAAACCATTGGCATCTGCCATCAGACTCGTTAATTTGTATCTAGCAAGCGACCGCGAACGTTCTCTTAGTAGGTGACGAATAGCACGGGGTAAAGGATGTCTGTTTGTAGTGGATGTACTTATATGGGGCACCAGCAGATGTCCTGCTGTGCGGATACACTGTTCTATTGTACTATTCAGGAGGTCAATATAGATTATCTGACGGATTTGTAGAAGATGGGTTTGAAAGAAATGCCTCAGGTTGGTGAAGTTTGTCCTCTTAAAGGAACAAACATCCCTAATACATGGAGTGACGCAGCTGGANCAACTACATCAAAAGAGAGCACGAAATGATCACTGTTGTCTAAAGGGCGGTGTTGTCGTATTGTGTCGTATTGTGTAAGTTGACTATCACCTGTTACGGCAATGCCTAGCAGTGGAGGGGATTGCCCCGTTGAAGTCTCCATTTATTAGGTGTGCGTTTGGGCCCATGGATCTTACACTGTTCAATCGCTCCATCAAATGTTGTCGTTCTAGCTCGCCATGGGATGATGGACGGGACACTATTACTAGCATCAGTGTCTTTGAGAGAGTCCAGGAGATTTGAACCCAGAGGAAATCTATGGAAGGGATGAAAGGCAGAGACAGAACCATCGATTTGGGGAGGTGGTCACTCGTGTGGAGGATCACACCACCTATTCGATCCTCATTGAGACTCTTAAGATAAAGGAGTTACCGCAAAAGTACTTCGCTATCGTTTTTTTTAAGTCAGCCAGGTTTCTGTGTAGGTTAAAAGGTGCGGTTTCTTGTCAGCCACTAACTGTTCGACTTCCAGTATCTTGTTCGATATGCTGAGACAGTTAGTGGACATGCATTTCAGAGCCCGCTCAGGATTAAAGGGGGCCTCTTTCGGAGGGGCTCTTATTTGGGCAATATGTTTGCAATAACTGAACATTGGAGAGGATCCCTATTGCTGGACATTCTGCAAAATCGCCCTTATCGGTTTTTATGTTAAAACGTTGAGCCAGGCACGTTCTACCGGCGGGTAAGCATAAGGTGTAAATGGAGAGTTTGAGAACACAAGTGTTGTATTCAATAAATGGTCGAAAATAAGAGTTAGTTGCATTGAGGAAAACGTTGATAGGAAACAGGAAGGATAAAACTAACACGATATAAGATTGCCTTAAACATGGGGCTCACAGGTTGGCCTATGTTTTACCTTGCAGTGATCACCCTAACTCAAGGAAAATATTCACATAGCAGTCATCCAGTTTGCTCTTTGAGCTTATCACATTTGTTGCTGTAATCATCATCTCTGGGATTTTGTTCCAGCTGCTCACCACATGGTTCGTTAGGAACTGTGCTCGAACTCACGGTACGTTTATCAATTTCAATGAGTGCCAGTGTAACGCCACGTTGTCACTGACGGCGAATTGTGGGGCACCCGTATCAGTTATGCCCTTTATACTCTTAAATGCGTCTGTCAGACTACCAATTAGGTGTCTTCTTTTCAGGGAGAATACGTTCAGTATAGAAAGCCGAGTTGGGTGATTCTACCCCTAAGTTGGGGGAAGCATTTCGTGAACCTGCGTTGTACCGCCTCTAAGTTCTTCTTGCCCCACTCCAGGTATGGTGACCTGCTTGGATGCAGTATCTTAAGTGTGTGTCTCACACACCTTGTACAGGGGTGATAACACATCAGAGACTCGTGAGACAACAGCTTTCAGTAGTTGATACACTGCATTATTTGC